CCTGGGGTCCAGCTTGCCCCCATGGCCCCTTGTCCTGTCACTGGCCATCACCGAGAAGAGCCCGACTCCATCCTCCTGACACTCGCCCTTCACGTATTTATAAACATTGATGAGGTCACCCCTCAGTCTCCTCTTCTCCAAGCTCAGGAGACTCAGCTCCCTCAGCCTTTCCTCATAAGGGAGATGTTCCACCCCCTTCATCACCTTTGGGGCTCTGTGCTGGAGCTATGAACACACAGAGCTGGGACAAAGGTTGGACTCGACGATCTTGAAGGTCTCTTCCAACCAAAACTGTTCTATGATTCTATGTGCACACACGTGACTCACCTCAGCAGCTTTCCTATGGTCATCCTCATTCTCCAGCATCTGGACATCTACCCCAAGGCAGCGAAGATAGCGCCCGAGGCCTTGCAGCATGTTATCACAGACCACGCTGAACTCCTTTGGGGAGATGGGAGCCAGGGGACATGAGGTCTCCTTTTTGGATGCTTTGCACTGCTACGAAAAAGCAAGAACAAGGTAAGCAGCAGAACAGAAGGCTGATTTCCAGTACATTTGTGTTTTGCCTCCCTGCATTCACCTGCCACAGCAAATCCAGCTGTCCCCTTCCACCTGTATAACTATTTCCCCCATGCTCTGCAACATCTCTAGCCTTTCCTTCGTATCCTTTCTACATCACCCACCTACCACTTGGGCCGGAGGCAGCACATGATGGGGCTAATTCTGAATTAGCCATTCACTCACTGGTTAGCTGGCCACCCAAACTGAGGATCTGCAGCCTTTCCCTGGAGAAATGCCAACCTGGCCTTCTGTGCTCTACACAGACATTCATTTTCATGAAGTCACAGAGACACATCTTCAAGACTGCTGTTCCCCTATCGAATCAGGCTGCAATTAATATGCATGTGCCAAAGTTACCATTTGGGAAGGGGATCTGACAGAGGGAGAAACAGGTAGACAAAGCAACCACGTCAGCTTTCTTATCTTCGGAAGTTTAAAAATAGGCAGTGCCTGAATTCTGTTTATTTTATTTCCAATGTCTGCTGCTGGGGGAGTTCCTGCAGTTGGAGACTTTGTCGTTGGGAGGCTCCCATAAGTACAATAGCAAAATTAATGGAGAAGGGAAGTTATTAAGGAACCTCCGATGTTCAGCTTTTGCCTCCAAGAACTTCAATCAGCTGGGCTGACTGAAGGACACAGCCACCACCTACGCAGGGCTGCACCGCCCTGGCACCAGTGTTACCGCAGCACTGCCCAGCAGCTCCGCAGCAGCCAGCTCCAGCCTGGCAAGGCTCTGGCACACCACGCAGATACACCTGGGCTGCCCACGTGAACGAGCTCAGATCCGAGAGCTCAATCTGCGCGATGCTGCACCTCCCAGAAGCTGGTATGTGCACTCAAAGCTCTGTCAGCACTGGGTAGACTGGTCTGTCACTGGGTCCTGCAAGGACCTTGGTGGACGTGCCCTGAGACATCAGAGTGCTGGGACAGCAGACCCTTCAATGCAGAAGTAGCTGGAAGACACTAACCCTGTGCTGCTGCTGCTTCTGTTCAAACGGACGTAAAGGAGCAGCAGCTGGCTCTTAGCTCGTGTTTATTCAGTGGCCAGCAATGTCATACGTAGTTTTTTTCTCACGTTTCATGCCAGCAGAGAGCAAAAAGCTTATAAAGGAGAAGAGTGTCATTAGCCCCACTTCAGATAGTGGACCAGGGAACACACGGAAAGAGAGCTTGGAGTCATGTAGGATGCAGAGTCAGGAGAAATCTGCTGCTTTGAGTCCCAGTCCAGGTTTTACCGACTACCTCTCGGTTAATGAATCTGACTGTACAGAACACAAAGATGACCCGTGAGTTCACAAGGTAATTCAAGCCTGAAGTACTCACTTTTCCCATCTCTGCAGCAGCCAGTCAGATCTGTGGTAACGTACAATATTCCCATGACCACGGAGCGCTCAGGAAACTACTGAGCAGCTTTGTGTTCTGCTGCCTGCCTAAGACTAATGGGACACTGTACACTTACACACACTTGATAAGGAGGATCCTGAAAAGGTGGCTATAATCAATAGCATCTCAGCCCAACCGTGGAAGGTAGGATTGACTTCAGGAGCTAAGCACACTTTTGGGACTCCTCAGGAGGATACACAGCCATAGTGGGGCTTCTCAGTTAATAAACAAAACTGTTTCTTTGCTAATGTTTTCATAGGTGCATAAACAACCGGACGGTCACATTTTAAAAGTAAAACTTTATTACTGAGAGGGACATTCCAAGATATTTAAGCAGAGTCACACAGCTCCAAGTTATGGCACAGCCACTGGAGTTTTAGGGCTTTGCCATAACATATATTGCAGGGGAAGGCCAGTCACAGAGTACGTGGTGGTGGACAGAGAGACAGGGACAAGCCACCAGCAGAAAGACTTTTTTGATGTAATGTTTGTTTTTAACTTTGCAGACTTCTACTCTGGACACAATAAAGGAGGCTTTTTGTGAGACCGAAGTGTAGAAGCTCAGTTAAAAGCAAAAGTAAGGAAGTGAGAGTTTGGAAACCTCATCGATGCAACACCTAGGCCACAGAACTCGAACATACACCGCTGAGGAAACGTGGAAGGAGCATTCCTACCAGCAAGGTTAGCTGGATTCTGCCACACAGACCTGCACCAACCCCTTGCTAAGACAAATGAACCTCAAACCGCAGGGAAAGCTGAACCACGGCACGCGAAGGAGACAGTACATCTTACCAGTAAAGGGGAGGAGAGAGGAAGATGTTTGCTGCAAGAGTCCTGAGAACAGGCTGCAAACAGGCATGCCATGCATAGCTAATGGTGTGACTGAGAGACAAGGCAACATGTGATTTGCAGGGGTCTTGAGCAACATGCAGCTCTTTGAAGATGTTTACAAACCTGTCCAGAAGGTGACGGTACTTCTTGTTTATTCAGCTGCTTCTTTGCCCTGGGTTTGATGCTCGGTTCTCCCACCAGACTCTCAGTCAGGTCTGATCTCAGACCAAAGCTCACTGGGTCCTTACAGAGTTTCTCGTAGATCTCCAGCAAACAGTACGCATCTGAAGCTGAAAATAAGGGAATATGAGCCTCAGCTGGTTTCATTCAGAAGTAAAACAGAGGCTTTCCCGATGCAAGGAAGAGCCCTTACTTTTGTAAATGCCACTGAACACAAACCTGTGAAGCTCCAGCTCAGTAATGTCATACCCTGCACTCTGTTACAGATTCAGTGAGCGCCATAACCTAACAGGCGATCAGGGAGTCAAGGCAGAGGCGCTCGGAAAGCGACAGCCCTCTGCTGTCTCTGACTCCACCGTAACGCAAATCGTAGCGCGGCTGTTGGAGCCACCACGTCAGCCAGCTTCAGCCAAGCCTTTTCACTCTCCATTGTTACGGAGCAGCGGCTTGCCCACGGTTTGTTACCACATCTCGGCTGTAGGAAGGTAACTTCCCCACTAGATGCAGTATCTTAAAAAGTAATAACCGAGTTGTTTGCAATCACCTGCCCACACGCACTGCTGTGTGGCTTCTGTTCCTTGCAACGGGAACCGTCTAAGTCTCCAAGCCAGTTTTACAAGTCCTAGTGATTAACTTTTGTGGGAACTGTGTCAGCTTCAAGGATAGCTGAATTTAACAAAGGGCTGGTTCGCTTCAGTAGACTGTCCTTTCATGCCCCAGGAAAAGATTCAGACACAGACTTCTGACTCTGGGGTAATCAGCAATAAACTCCACTGGTCCCTCCACTGTGCTGCTGTTTCTGACACCACATCTACCCATTTTTAACCCTGCTCTAACAAGCACTTCACTAAGACAAATGAACATAGCACTTGTTTCCCAGAAAGGCTGTGAAATGAGGCAGAAGGAAGTGGACTTTCTTCCTTTAGACTACTGAGAGGAGAGTTTCCACTGAGGTGACATTTCATCAGACACAATCTGCAAAGCAGAGGAATTCTTTCATAAGCAAAATAATGAATCACTGCATAGTTTAAACTTCAGCCATTAAAGCCATGTCCGCAAAAGGACAAACATAACATGCGCTGCCTTCTCTGAACAGGAACTAATCTGCAAAGCCATTTTCTTCGTTTGGTACTTAACGAGTTTCCTGGTGACAGAGAACAGACAAACACAGCCTGTAAAGGACAATCTGTAGCACCTCACCACAGAGTGACCAGACCTGCATAGAGGATCTGTTCCTCCCGGAGAGGCCGTTTCTCCCAGTTAGACAGCTGCTCTGTTTTATCTAGAGGTTTCCCCAGCACATGTTGCACCAAGAGGCTGAGTCCTTTCTCTGGCTGCCTGAGCCCTCTATCCTTGTAGCTCTGCTCTGGGGACAGCACGTCGACCTTCCGGCCACCCTTCTTCCAGTCAATGGAGCTCTTCTGTAGCTGATGGAAAGAAAAAGACACAAAACACATGGTTATAAAACAACTACACGACCTCCTCTTCCAGTGGGTGCGGCCAAGCAGCAACCCTATAATTTTTATCTCTTGCCTGGCATATTGAATCTCATTGTCTCAGACAAGGGCTGGGATGGCATTAGATATATGCAGTGTCTGGTTATTTGTTTAACAAACACACTTGCTGGAAAGAAATCTATTTCATAGCCAGGGAAGGAAAAAAATTGCATTGTCATACAGCGTTGCATCAGAGCAGTGGGGCTGTGACTGTGACTTCCCAGAGGTTTGCAGAGTGCTCAGCCATGCTGGAGGCTGTTGGGCACCGACTCCATAAAAGAACAGCAGCAGTAGTGCAGCACCTTTCTCCTCCTAGTTCCAGTGAGAAAAGGTATTCCTGTATTACAGGGGGCAACGGCCTTTCTGCAGTTGCCATTTCTCAAATTAAACTGAGGCAATAGCTGTTGGCAGGTACTTCAGACCCTGCAGCACTTCCTAGGTTAAGCTATCAGTCCCAAAGATCTGGGTTCTCCCCAACCCACAGCCTTAAACACACACTGTAAATTTTACCCATTAAAATGGTTGTCCTTACCATTTCTGCAGACTGCTAAAAACTACTGTGTGCAAACCCAGAGACAGCTGTACCTCAGCTGAACAGAAATTCCTGTGCCGAATCCACCAGCAGCCCTCCCATGAACATTATGAGCTCTCTACAAATCATTAACTCCACAATATCTCCTTCGATACTGCATGATCTTGGAATATCAGAATTTCTACAAGAATTTACTCTTACCGAGGTCAAGTATGACTTGTGCTCAAAAACTTGTCCTAGCTGATTGGAGCTATGTCTCCTCTTCAATTGCTTTTTCGTAGCTGTTATACAGGCTATGAAAAAGGTTGTTAGTATATCAAGCTCTAACTTTCTAGTTGATGAAACCTAAACACTTCTTTCTTTAAAGAATCACATTACCCTCGAAATCACAAGCAGAAAAGGTCTATTTACTCATTTCGCCGTCTTCCTGCCAATGCAGGATACAAAAAGACAATGCTGTGAATTCGTGACAGTTATCAACAAGGACACGGGGGAGACAATTTTCCACATCTTCATGTGTTCTTCCTTACTTGTTTGTCTACTGTGAGCAGGTCCACCACACCTTGCGCTTGCTTATCCATGTCTTTCAAAGCAGAGCATGTGGCTGCAAGGCTGCTAAGGTCTCCAGACATCCCATAACCTGGAGGAAAAAAAAGTTGAAATCACACGGGTAGGTAAACTCAAGTCACAGCTAACGCACTGCAATTTTTTCTAGTTCAGAGTCAAAATGCTGACAACATATGTATAAACATCGGTGGAAAGACTGTTCAGATACGGACCAAGACAGATTCCCACCTCTCCTGTTCTGAGATACTCTTGCAGATCAAGACTGGAAGAGAAGAGGTGGATGAGAATCCCTGGGTTTGAGATCAACTTACTTAAAATCTACTAGGTCAGTGAAAGGCAACTATGAATTTGCCCTTGAACTGTGGGTTTAACAACTCCTGCCAAAAACACGGGTATGGTAAGCTGCAGAGCTCTGGTGTCCAGTACAGTGGCTTTGGGACAGGGACAGCAAACCCAGAAAACTCCGGATGGCAGAATTCCCTCGACCATTGATGGCTGGGTGCAAGTTTGGGTTTAGTATGGAACCAAAACAATCCCAAGTCTGAGGGGGGAGGCTAAATCAGAAATCTTGGGTCCGACCTGAAATGAGGAGACGTTTCTATCACTCCCAGTTACCCCGCTTCCTGGCATGGCAGTGTTTGAATACCCATGGATATAAAAGCTGGTTCTGTGTAAGTGGATTTAGAGAATGACAACCCCAAGAGGATCCAGGAATTCCACAAAGTAAGCTGGGAGACGAGAGGCATGTTACCTAGTTTAGTGATGGCTGCATCTGAATAGAGCATCTGGAGGAAATGGGGAAGCCTCTCCTTCTCACCCTCCGTCTCAGCTTGCTCGAGGAGCCGTGGCAAGTCAAGCAGGAACACCTCATCCTTCAGGGCGATCTGAAGGAGGGAGATACGGGGCTTCCCGACCACGCCGAATGAAGGCCTCCACTCCATGTCAATGCCAACAACCTGCCCAGGCTGCAACACAACACAGACACGAGCCTTCTTCACTGAAGGGACTGTCTACACTTGAAAGCAGCCCGGACAGTCCCTGTCCAGAACACAAGCATTTCCAACCACTGCATCTCTTTGCTAGCGTGCAAACTGCTACAGAGACAAGTGACTTTCACAGCACACCTGAGCCACCCCTGCGGGGACCTTTCCTGACAAAGCAATTCCCATCGTGTTCCCCAAATCAGACAAGCCTAAAGGAAGCAGATGTTCTTGCCCTGGCGAGGGAGACACTTGACGGCAGTGGCCCACCTACAACCCTGCACACCAGTGTGCTATGGGGTTTCTCCTCCTTGACCCTGCAAAGCAAACACCAGAGTAACACTCACCTGCAGCACCTTTTCCCAGCACTGCTGTGTCTCTTCCCACGTCTGCAGGAAGTGAATATTTGCCCGTGGAATAGGAAGCTGGTAATAGTCCTTCTTCTTACTCTCTTCGTGATTATCTGCTTTTGTAGCCTCTTCTACCCTGCGCAGAATCAGACACAGCAGCTTTAAGCCATGCAATGAGAGGAAATTCTGGGTTGGAGAAACATCACGAAGTCTTAAGCCCCTTATTTCACCCTGGCCCTCTATTTTCCCATGCCACTCAACTCTCTCTCTCACCCTCTCTTCCCTCACTTTCCCTGTAATCTCAGTCTCTCCCATCTTGACTCATCCTCTCTCTTTATTTCTGTCCCAGAAACGGCACTGTATCCAAGACCTCACCATGCTCCTGCACTGTACCTACTGCAGAGCACACTCAAACCAAAACACTTGCTGCAGTCAGTCCCAAGCCCTGTTCTCGATGCTCAGCTCTTTTTCCCAGAACTGATGCAACTTGGATGACAACGTTGGCAGCTGTTTCCACGTTCAGAGATAACACATTTTAGATTTACTGCTTTTTGCCCTCGAGGTTAACATGGAAGTCTGCTAGCTCCCACGGTGTAACACATAACAGAGAAGTCAGCTCTGACCAGCACTGCATCCAAACAGGAGCTTCACAGTTCCCCACAGCACAAACTGGCTCAGAGGCTCTTGGACTGCTCCACGCTAAGATCACTACCAGCTGGGAACGGGCGAGTCTGCCTCATCGTTTTATAGCGCAATGGCTTGGGAAGGCTTCACGGGCCTCCCTGACATTATTCAGCTTCTTATCCATCCCCTTCCCTGTAAAATGTCCACATAGGTTGCAGAAGAACATCTGTCCTACGTTGCACAGGGATGAAATGAGAAAAGTTCAGAAATAAAGTTTTAAAACCTTCTACATTCAGGGGAAGACAGCCAGCTGAACCCCCAGAGCAAGTGGCTTGCTTGTGCTGCTCCCTCCATTTGGGTTTCAGATGGCACCACACAGAGAAAGTCAGTATCTATGTATTAATGCCCTGGGAATGTTGGAAGATGCCTGCAGAAATGAGCTAACTGATTTCCTACAACAGCATCTTACACAGCACATTTTCTCTTCAAAACGAAGCAGAGTCTCTTGAAATGGCCTTGTAACTGGAAGGTCAGCATATCGCTGTGGTGTCTCAGCCAGATGATGCAATCAGAGGAAAGAAACTAATAAAAAATATCCAGCTATTTTGGACATATCACAAATTTCTGGATAGTCTCTTTCCCACAGAGACTTGAAATGGTTTATTATTTGAGAAACTATTTACTAACCTTATATTTGGGGAACTGTGTGACTAATTTTGTAGCATAGCAGCTTTCACTGTACAAACACTCTTTTCCGTAGGTCTGTGTACATGGGGAAGTCAATATTTGTGTAAAATATTTAATGAAGGTGTGCAGTCTCAGGTCTCCAGGAATATTCTCACCTGCAGAGTTCAGGAGCCGCATGTAGTGCGACCAGTGGCAGAGATGATGTCATTTATACGCTGGTACCACCTTGTTCTCTACAGTGTGAACACTCTCTCTGGGAACCTGCTGCTTTGTTAGCTCCATAAATATCACAGACAGACTGTTATATTAGGCTCCATGGCTCCGCTGATTTTATAGCAGCTACTGCAGCAGGTGTCATGACTGGATGGGTAAACCAGGGCACAAAGGCTTGACTCATCTGTCACAGCTCCTCGTGGACAGCCAAGCACATCCTCATCGGCATGCCTTCGCCCGTACACGACACAGGATTCCCAGAGCAGGGAGATGGAGTGGTGGTATTCATCTTTCTAGATGCACAGAGTCTGTGGCTAAGTCAGATCTAGTCTGACTAAGACTATGACAGACTCCCGTTAACCACCCCTTTGTGTTTTGAGGGATTACACCTCCTGCACAAACCTTCTGGCTCCCAGCTGGCAGCTGGTGCTGCTTCAGGAGGGAGGAGGAGGAGGGCAGCTCCAGCAACGCATCAGAGATAAGCAGAACCATGTCCTAAGATAGACAAGAGATTCCTGTGCTCCAAGAAAGCCATGTACCACCTGGAGGAGTGGGCCTTTGCAGGCTGTATTTCGAGGGTGACTACATCTGTGTCGTATTTCCTGAGGTTACAAGGGGCTGAATGTGAACCAGTGCACATCTGCACTGGGAGAAAGATCAGCTCCAGGAAGCTCAGCTCACAAAGTGTTCAAGGCTGTCTATGAGACCCTCCCAAAATCATCAGCATTAAAACATAATAATAATCCATGTTCTCATTCATCTGCTATGCAATTCAAGTTAGTCTAATCTATGCTCAAAAATATGATTTTTAGTTATGAAAGCTGCAGGTTTTGTATAAACACCTCTTCCAGGAGATGGAATTTTGCTGCAATGTTGAAGACAACAAACCTGGTGATAAACCTGTTACAGCAGGCAACCTCACTCAGTCTCAGGCTTGGTCTTCTTAAAAGGTCTCCTTCTCCCCTCGTGAGGTGTCAGCACTAACCAAGCAGCCAGTGACAGGTCCTAACGGTTAGCTGGAGTTCATGATTCTGACGGATGACACCAGCAGGAAAGCCCTGCACTAAGGATATAAGGTAAAAGGAAGCACCCACACCATCTGCATCCAACTGCACGTCCTGTAGGACCCAGGAGAAAGCCCCAGACCACGCGAGGCAGCAGACGAGCACGGGCAAGCAGACTGTGCTGAGAGGGACCCTGCCTCCGCGGCGCACACGGCACCGCAAGCATCCAACCCCTTATCCAGGGAGCAGCGCTCCTCCACTTTCTGCTGGCTTTGTTCCTCCCCAAACAGGTAACGTATGATACCATCAACTCCTCCTGGACACACAGTCCCTGGCAAATCAGATTCTGATTTCCATCACATACACTGAGAAGAGTTCAGCTCTGTATAGTAAGTTATTCCCTCGTACTACAGGCTCCGTGTTTGCAGGATGCTAAAGATACGGGCTATCAGCTTGCACAAAGCTGTAAATAGTTACCTCTCGGGAGTGGTCAGGATTTTCCCACAAGCTTTCCTCTAATCTCACCTGGTTTCTGAACTAGAAACACCAATCTCCATGCTAAAAAAACACAACCCAACCCATTTCACCAGTGAGGGCAAGACAGAGACATCAGGCAAGCGGTGCCAAGTCTAGTCAAGTACAACGCCCCGGAATAAGATAACTGATGTGTCCAACAATGGAAGAGTCCTAAATTATCACTGCCTCCTCTCTTCTGTTTTTGACAAAAGCCTTGACTCTACCTGGAAACACGTGACTGCTCCTTGAATGACAGCAAAGCTCTGCGCTACGCTGCACGCCAACCACACAGCCCAGAGCTCTCCTGCATTTGCATGGAGCATTCGGGATAAGGCCTCTTCTGTGCACAGAATCCCCTGAGATGAATTCCTGCACACGAACGAGTGGAGAAAATGCTGCTTGACTGCGGCAGGCCAGCAAGGTGACTGGGTGATTGCTCTGAAGCCAAGGACTGTGGCAGCCTGCAGCCTTGCAGGAGTTCAGCTCATGGACACGTGTGGGCACAGAGGCTACCGGGCTGTGGGACTACCGGCCAGACCTCATCCAGCCCAAGGTTCCAGATCTCCTGTGCAATCCCAGGTGAGATCCTAACAGGAACCTCATGCAGTATCATCTGCAAGCTCTGCACTTCCTCAGGACTTGCAGTAGCCTGCATGCGTGCAGGCCTTTCTGCAGGAAAAAAAAAAAAAAAGGTTGAAAAAAGGGTTCCAAACATGGCTATCTCTGAATAACTTGCTTAATCACTTTGTGGACAGAGGCACTGAAGCGTGGCAGATACACCATCACTCACAGGAGTATAAAATTGAATTACTGGGGCTCAGCAAATCATTTGCGTTGAGTCATTTTTTCAAATACAGCCTTTCTCCTCCACACAGCACAGCTGAGCAACTGCCTGGGAGACTGTTGGCACGAAGAGTGTGATCTTGGGCCATTTGCTCAGAGACACAGCACAGAATACCCAGAACCAGAACTACAAAGCCCCGGTACACCTCCAGATCTAGCTTGCTACGGGGATCAGACGGCTCCTAACACTTGAGGTGGCTATATGTGCCCTCCTACATTTTGAGCCTCATTTCAACTTTGCACAGCTTTGTCTACACACGGCATGGAACCTGGCCACCTTCTTCCCTCCATCCTTCCCCTCTGCTCCTCCTGCACCAGCAGGTTCAGAGAGATCCTTGACTGGGGCTGTTTCCACAGTTCTGTGCACTTGAAATCAAGGAGTTGTAAGAACCCTTCTTAATATAAGGATTTTTCACCTCTTTTTTTTGTACATCTGCCTTTGAACTCTTGTTCAGGTCGTGTGACAGGATGAAGCTCCCATCGGGGGAGGAACTGGGGCTACTGCAGGCTAATCCGCTGCATACAACATGGGGGTCTCAAAACAGGAGGGGAACCATGACACTCTGTTATTGGGGTTGCACTACAGGAAGAAAAGGGGACAGAAACTAATTAGGGGGATAAAGGCTTCTCAAGCTCACTTGGTAAATTTGTGCTGGAGAGTCTCATTTTATACCAAATTCAATTAATGTGACTCTTCCAGGATCTGACCCCAAATGTCAAAAATTCCCATTACTTCCGAAAGCTTTGGATGAGGCAAAAATTATAGACTGGGATGAAAAAAGGCTTATGAGCTGTCAGAGGAGAAAGAAAATTAGAAAAATTTAAGGAACTTTTAAATTATTTTTTGGCCATAGGTACCCTAAAAGGTGTTAAACCAGATTACAGTACAGTGAGGGATGCAGAGTATATAGAGAACGTTGACAGATGTGTAATCAACCCAACAAAACAGACGCAGATTGAGATCCAACCCACATCATTTCATTTGTGCTGTTGATAAGGCAGAGGGAGTCTGAAGACCTGTTGGCAGCACGAAGCAATCTTACACAACTTCTAAGTACTCAGGAGTGAGTTTAAAATGTACCTTTCACAGACATTTCCAGGCTTATGAAAAGCAAATGCATCATGTACATGGCCAAGATGTAATCTGAGTAAATGGAGGATGTTTTTGCAAAATTATCTCCTGAAGGAAGCATTACGGCAGATTATTTTAAGCAAATATGTAGTCCTTGTATGATAAATAACCTACACTGAAAAGGCAGGAAACAGCGTATTTACCTCTCTTGCATCTGAAGTTTTTGAAGCTCATCAGCCACTCCATAAGGCAGCATCTCCTCGGGCAAATTGCAGCGTTGTGCCCATCTTGCCGCTGTGCTCAAGTCACAGTAACTGATTAGTAACTGTATCAGGTGCCCTTGAAGCCATCGATTCTCTCCAACCGTGCTCTGAAAGGGGAATCAAGGGTGAAGGAAGACTGTCAATGCCATTTCCATCATGGGCGTTTCTACTCCCTCTCAGGCAACAGCATCCTCCAGCGGGTCCCGGGCAAGGGCAGACAGGAGCAAGAATTCCCCTGCTGCAGGAGTGATTTCAAACCCAGCGAGTGCTGCACTTCCCTGCCAAGGGATGAAGAGCTACTTTAATGACGAAGAGCTCATCAGGGTACTTGGGGCTCCTTGACAGCACGGCTATTTGTTCAGGGGATACCACTTTGCAGCACAGAGAAACAAGGGTAAACCAATACCATTCAGCCTGATGACTAGCATATTATCTGCTCAGATAATGATTATATTAAGCAAAATCAGAACCAGTGACTGACCAGACAGTAAAGGTCTTTCGGCTTGTTAGGCAGATAATTATGGAAGGGGTAAGAGTTTTGTCCCATTTTGGGCCTGTACATAGCCCTGAAGTGATGATGTGACTTGATGTCCTGGAAGAGGCAACAGGACGGCTCAGTCTCTCCCCAGGCAGGACAGTAGCACGGGGTCTCCTCCAGCCTTAGGAGTATTTGCACGGGTAAGGAAGATTGCCAGTCACACCTGGGTTACAGGTAGGACACATCAGCAGAGCCTTCCTGAGTGACTTTGGTGTTCACAGCAAGGAAAAGGCTCGCTCCTCAGCCCACAGCCCACCTACACACACCACCGTGGCCTTTCTCCAGCAACACTCAACAGCACACTGCACAGACAGGCACCCTCTGCAACCCGCACGGGCCCAGCCAGCACTACAGGTGGGGTCCAGGGTGTGAGAGGTGTCACCCTGCATCGGAAATAAGTTGTAGAAAATGGACTCTGAAAGCCCTACTCTATCCCCACCGCTCACAAGAGGAACCCGGAGCAGTCGCTCCAGCCGTGAAGAACTAAGGTTGGGTGCAAGAAATTCCTGCCTTTGTGCCTATTCAAGGCCTCTGTGGATGCGACAACTGGATTATTGCTTCAGCCACACGAACAAACACAAGGATCTCAAGTGTCGCTGGAGGAGCCTGCGCCACCTGCACCTGCAGACAGGGAGGGCAGTTTAGGCCGTTCCCTGTTCCCAGCTCTTTTCTGGCAGAAGCGATCACGCGCCCACGCCCTGGCACACTGCAGAGCCTGGGGGCACAAGCACAAGCTCACGGTTGCCCGTGGTTTAAGCCCAAATACCCAACTGCGAGCCAGAGTGGCTGGAGCACGGCACGCTGCCCACCCTGGCATGAGGGAGCAGCTACAGGCAAGTGGCAGGGCAGAGAACTGGGGCCCACAACAATCTCTACTGCCATGGCTGGATTCACCAAAGCTCTTTTGTCTTCTTCACCCTCTTGGTGCATGCAGCTGTAAGAGGAAATACAAACGCAGTGACACCGAGTCACGACACCTACCCGGGGCTGGGAACAATCCTCTCCTCCTGCCCAGCCAACCCACCTGTGCAAGCAAATATCCCAGAGCCACTGCAGCCAGATCAGCAACTCGCTCCTCTTGCCAGACTGATCTACTCACGGATCTGCCTCAGAAGTTAATGTTGTCAAGAAAACTTAATTGCTAAAACAAGTTGAAACTCTACATGGCGGATCAGGATCTGCAGCTATACGGCTATATTGCTGCTGGCACTGCCAACAAGTATTTTTCAGCGTAGTGAAGTGCTCAGGTACACACTTAAAGGCCATCTTTGTGCTCTGCACATCCACTGTCATCTCTGCTTCGCTGCCCACCAAGCAGCACTTGCAGGGTCAGGGTCTGCTCCCGGGGACCACAGGCACCTTGCTCGTCCTCCACGGCATGTACCAACACAGCCCGGCTGGGTGGCAGCTGGGGCCATGGGGCCTCATTCCTCACATTCTTGCAGCAACTAAAAGGTGAGAAGTTGCCTTCAAAGCAGGCACCCTGCACAGAGATCACGAAACAAACCTGTTGATGGCCCCAAGGTAAAAGGGAAGGAAAAAAGAAAGCAAAAAAAGAGAAAAAGAATGACCCGCCCCATAGAGGGGCAGGAGGGGGTAGAGGCTTGGAAGAAAAGGCATAGAGAAATTTGGCATCCTAGGTAGCGCACACGAGAAGCCAGCCTGCTCCTAGAAACTGCTGCCTCAGCACTAAGTCTGCACCGCTGTGACGCTGCCAAATGCCAAACCACATTTCTTCTCATGGATATGCGGAGAAGCATTTTTACTGCTGCTCCTAAGAGGCTGGTGGCATAGCAAGGAGCCAGTGTCAGCGGGATGCGGGTCCAGCAGCTAACCAGGGACTCGGTTACGGGAGAGAAGCTGGAGCGGGAATGGAGGGAAGGGGCAGAGCAGGGAAGGATACGCTATCATGTTAATGCTTCTTGCTCTCCTCCCGGCCATGCCAGGTCTGATAGTTTGTGCATCTCTCACATCACTGCCTCATGCAGCTGAGCTCAGCCGAGCACCTAACACATGAAGGAGGTTTGAATAACTCCTCCTGCCACGTTTGCCAAGCCTTTTCTCAGAGTCCTTCCGAAAAAGAACATATTTTCTTACTAACATCACAGAGCAGTTCCCTTTTGAGCTTCCCCTGTGTCCATCCTATTGTCTTTCTGCCTTTTTTCTAGAACACAAAGTCTTTGGGGTTAGATCTCACTACAGTTCACCCAGAGTCAATTCTTAATAAATCACGCTACGTCAGCTCTATTTCTGGAAATAACGAGGTGCAGATTTCTTTTTTTTATTATTATTTTAATGATAACAGACTTATTCTTTCAACCACAAAAACAACTCTGGAAAGAAGGTTAATCTCTCCAGAGATATTACATCTTGCATTCTGAAATGGAAAATAGCTTTGTTTGTTTTTTACTGAAAAAAACCCAACATTGCTATAAAGGGGAAAGGCCTCCACCACAACAGCTTTGCAAGAAGCAAGAATGTGGAAACTTTGGCCCCTGAAGATGTGGGCACAGATGCAGAGACAAATGTTTCACTAGGGATGACATTTCATGTATACTGTTTTCAGTAAATGAACACTTTTCAAGAGGAAACTGGCACAGTTGTTCTGATCAACATCAGCGACACCTCCAAGCAGAAGATTATACATACCATGAGGCTTGTTTACATCCCTCTCTGAATTCTAGACATATCACACATTCTTTAATCCATAGGCGCACACAAAAACTCCTGACACCAACAATAACCCATGATTAAAGCTTCCCAAAACGACTGCTGCAGATTACCTACCCGTAAATCCTGTTCTTACCCACCCGAAAGCTTTACAAAGCTCACAACAACCAGTGCACAGCAAGCTTAGGAATGTCCTGATCTTAACCCACAGCATCAGCAATTCCTCCATTGTTTTATCAATAATTTTGGATCCAAATATCCAATATCTTCTTTGGAAGTCACCCTAGCCATTCCTAGATTACTTTTATCTGTATGTGTTAAGTTGCATTTCTGCCTGATACAATTCTCTGCTTTCCCTCGGTATCTTTTACTGGAGAGTGAAGTTATTCACACCAGTGACACTGGCTATTTGCAGAGTCAGATTTTAATTTAACTTTTGAATGTCTTGGCCAATTTCCCCTGTTCTCAAGTGCTTCCAGAATCAACACAAAAAAATCCTGTTAGCACAGAGAAAATGTCAAGTAGAATATTTCAGAGCCAGCAACTTTAAAAGGGGAAAAAGAAAATGGACTTTGAAAGGACAAAACCACTCGAGGCAGTGGAGGACACTAACAGCATTTCTAAATTTGCTGCGGTGCCGCCGACACCTTCCCTGGAACCCCCACTGTGTGAGTCTCGTTCCTACTTTATTTCTGCTCGAGATCTCTGTTTTGAGGTTAGCATCATTTGTGCTATATGGAGAGCTGCAGTATGCCACCATTAGGATGTCGAATGGAAGTCCTTTATGCGTGAGATCCGAGCTGGGACCCTCAGTGCCAGCTCAGCCCAGGGTCACGGCCTGTTCCGGGAGAGAAGGGGGATCCTGACTTCTGGATATCCTACGTAGATGGCACTTGGATAAAACACGTCAACTTTACCCACGCTCACTTCTGAAGAGGGTTTCTTGTGAAAGCAGCAGGCCACTCACCCATGGCCAATGCACAAAGACGGAAGCATGAGAAAGCTGTGCCTTCTCACCACTTGAGCTGTTCTCTCGCTCACAGGCATTGGCTACCCAGATGCACTAATTTATGAACTGAAGAAGAACAAAATAGCCTCCATTCATATCCCAGAAGACTGACTTTCAGATAGCAATCAGTGCGTCATTGACAGAGCCACACTTCAGTGTTCTGGAGGCCATTACCACATCAATGGCGGGGAAGTGGTCTTTCTTCTCTCTTTCAACAAAGCTTTGGCAATGTGGCTCCCTGGGGCATGTTCACACTACCTAGCTTCAGCTTTGTGAATCAGGAGACTCAGCTTCCCAGTCTCCCCATGCAATCTCCTCTTCCGAAAGGCAATTCAGAGGAGTCTAACTTATGATATCACTTCAATGGATCAAGGCAAAGGCGAAGCTTAAAGCCAACTTGCCACTGCAATGGGGCTCCTCACAAGGAGCTTATTGTTCCTGGGCAACCTGAATGAAGCTGCTGGCTTGTGATGAGTAGCTATGACTATTTTGTGTGATGAGACCCATCTGGCTCCATTTTTCTCTCTGCAGCTTACACAATCTTGCCAATGCCCTTTCTCGTTTGGAAGTCCAGACGCCACTACCAAATGGCAGCCAGAAGAAAAGCGGTTACTCCCTTCTGTTCAGCACTTGTGAGACCACACCTGGACAAGGTGCCTAGTTTTGGTGCCCCAGTGTAAAAAACATGCTGAAAAATAGGAGAGTTCAGTAAAGAGACACTGAGATGGTTAGTGGGTTGGAGCACCTGATGTAGAAGGAGAGGCTGAGGGAGGAGGGTTTGTTCAGCCTAGGGCAGGCTAGATTGGGGGATACGGGGGAATATAATCACTCTCTTCAATTCTGCCACGGGAGATCATAGAGAAGATGAAGTCAGAACCTTCCAGAAGTTC